GGGTTCCTCTGTACACTTATGTGGCCATCTCTCCTACCAGAAAATCCGTTCCTTGAGGGCAAGACCTGGGCTTTCCGTGCCCGGCCCCTCGCCCTTGGAAGTGGTGTTTTGGCAACGGCAGACGATGGATACATTTTGTTGAAAACATGATGAGGAAGTAGAGGGAAGATAAAGGAATAAGATGGTTTAAACCAAAAAAAAAGGAGACCTTTTCTTAAATTTTCAAATCCAACAATAGACTTCTTGAAGGGAAGGGAAACTTTCAGACACTGATTGTTTCAGTTGGGGGAAATGCTAGCCAGTGAAAGGGGGACAGCGTGTATAGCTATGAAGTCTGTATTTCTTTTTTTTTTTTTTAAACAGGTCTCACGCTGTCACCCAGGCTGGAGTACAATGGTACGATCATGGCTCACTGCAGCCTCCACTTCCTGGGCTCAAGCTATCCTCTCACTTCAGCCTTCTAGGTAGCTGGGACCACAAGAGTGCCTGGCTATATATATATATTTTTTTCTACAATAAAAATAAAGATGCTGTGCCAGGTCTCATTTACATATGGCTAGACTGGTTGCCAAAATACAACCAGAGACTTGGTAAAGAAAAACAGCACAGTGATTCCTGGCTGAAGCTCCCCTTCCCAGGTGTGACAGTTCTCTCCACATGGCCCAGGCTGGTTTCAAACCGCTGGCCTCAAGAGATCCTGCCACCTCAGCCTCCCAGAGTGTTGAAATCACACACATGTGCCACCATGCCCGGCCCAAAGTTTGTAGGCTGAAAGTACAGACAGAGTGCTAAAGTGGCGCAGCCTCAGCCCTGTGGGCAGGACCACTGAGGAAGGCCAGAGTTGATGCCACTTTTTTGGCCCACGGATGCAAGAGTGCCGAAGCTCTGGCAAAGTTAACGGAATTTGTCTGATGTTCCAAAGGACAGTAGGAGGCTGTCAACAAACTGGTACTGACCTCTCTGAAGAGACTGCAAGGGCCAGGGGCTGGCAATGGGGTGTCCAAGGGAAAAGAGGGGTGCAGAGCCTGGGATGGGACTGCTCTAAGACAAAGGCAAAAACACTCCTCCTGGGGCTGGCCCACTATAAACGAAAAAGCAGCTGCATGGATTTCATCAGATTCCCACACATTTTCAGGGAAATGATGTGCTGGTTTCACCCAATTGATAAAATCTGTAGCATTTGGGTAAGCGTTTCTTCAACAGATACTTTCAACTGTGACAACAGCAACAAAACCCTTACCCATGTCTTATTTCTAACAAAACTCCCTTATATAAAACAAACAGATAAATGGCGCCTTCGAGAAGCAGTGCTCTATTTGGTCGAGGTGGGGAGCGTCAAAGTTTCTCCAGGGATCTCTGCGGTCCTTTATTTGGGTTTGTGACACTCCCTCTCATCCGGTCTCGGGTGCATCCTGAGTGGGAGAAGCCCTAGGCCTTCAGCACTTCATCTTGCCCAACCCAGGAAGGTGCCTCCCACCAGCCTTGCCCTGGAGTCAAATAGGCCCCATCAGAGGGCGGCCCAGCCCATAAACCTCCCCACCAAAGGGCGCGTTGTGCCAGGTCAGGACCTCCTCACCTGGAGAGCCACATTCCTGCCCATGAGGTAAAGCTCCACTTCAGAAAGGAAACCCAGAAGCCCAGCAACAGCAAATCAAAGCTAGGGGACCCCCTGTGACACATCTCAGTGCCACCTGAAAGAACATTTTCAACCAATCCAGCTGCTTTCAGCTACATATCCAGGTCTCTTTTGGACTGCATTTGTTTTCTCATTTACATGTGGCTAGCCTGGTTGCCAAAATACAACCAGAGGCTTGGTAAAGAAAAACAGCACACTGACTCCTGGCTGGAGCTCCCCTTTCCAGGTGAGCCAGTTCTGCAGGGATGCTGCCCGCCACCACAGATAACAGCCCCATTTAGAGCAGCTGGCGGCAGGCGGGTGAGTGAGCCCCTGTGAGGAAACCTGCTGCAAAGTGAACATCATTTGCTAACAGGTATTCTTCTAGCTAAAATTTAGAGGAATCAGCTGGGCAGGGTGGCTCACACCTGTAACCAGCACTTTGGGAGGCCAAGGCAGGTGAATCACGAGGTCAAGAGATTAAGACCAGCCTGGCCAACGTGGTGAAACCCTGTCTCTACTAAAAATACAAAAAAATTAGCTGGGTGTGGTGGCACATGCCTGTATTCCCAGCTACACAGGAGGCTGAGGGAGGAGAATCGCTTGAACCCAGGACGCCGAGGATGCAGTGAGCTGAGATCACATCACTGCACTCCAGCCTGGGGACAGAGCAAGACGCTGTCTCCAAAAAAAAAAAAAAAAAAAAAAAAAAAAAAAAAATTAGAGGAATCAATTTATTTTTAATTTTGCTTAATATGATCTCTCTTCTTCAATGTTTAACAGACATTTAAAACACTGACATGTCCAAAATTGAGCTCTGGCAGTACCAATCCCAAACTCCTCACTCCTTACCCCCGCCCCCGCTCCCATCCCCGCAGCCTTCTCCAGCTCAGTAAATGTCTAGGCCATTCCCTTCACTGCTCAGGCAAGAAACTCAGGAGTCATCCTTCTCTCCCTTTTTCCCACATGCCACTTCTGATCCCCCAGCAAGTCCAGCTGGGTCTACTCTCAAGGCATCTCTAGAATCCAACCCCTCACCCCACCTCTGACGTGACTGTCCCAATCCAGACCACCATCATCTCTCATCTGGATGACATCAATGGCCTCCTCAATGGCCTCTCCGTCCCTCCCCTTACACAGCCTATTCTCAACACAGTCAACAGAGGGACCCTTTACAATGTGAAGTCAGGTCACGTCCTCTTCTGCCTAACCCCTTGGGTGGCTCCCCATCACTCAAGAGTAAGAGCCCATGTCCTTCTGTGATTGCTAGGGATTCTCCCAGAATCCCTCAGGCTCACCTCTTTCTACTTTCTTCAGCCACAATGGCCGCTCCTGCTCCCTGGACACAGGTGTTCTCCAACGCCGAGGCCTCCATACCTGCTGCACTCCCACCTAAAGCGCTACTCCCCTGGATTTCCCCATGGCCCACTCTGTACTCCAAGTTTTTACTCAAATGTTACCTTCTCAGCAAAACCTTCTCTGGTTCCCTACTCAAAAATTCCAGGACGCTTGACACTTTTCACCCCTTTCCCTGATTTCTTTCCTTTCTCTTGGCAGTTAATTACTAGCATCATTTCACGACACTGTGTGTGTCCCTGTCTATCCTGTCTCCCCCCGCACTGAAGCACAGGCACTGTGAGATCTAAGCCTCTCATGCTTTAGTTCCAGTGCCAGGAACAAAGCAGTACACAGTGCCATGTGCCTAGTGGGTACCCAATACATATTTATTGAATGAATGAAAGTGGGACAGACTGGTACTTTTAAGTCAAATATCTATTTTGAATGTGCCAAACTGGCTTAGAAAATTAACAAACAAAAAAGGGATTTCAGTGGCTTCTGTCACTCTAGGTGATTTCTATCATTTGTCTAACCAAATGATAGAAATCAGAGTGACAAAAGCCACTGAAATCTCATTTCTTATAATGGTGCACAAGGGCCTGGGATCAACTCTTCCACTGAGAATGACTAAAAAAGCTGAACTAAGTATGAAAAATACCTTCTTAAATATAAAGTATTAACCAGGAGACTACGTAAATCAAACATAAAAAGCTGCTTTTGTCCTGAGGGCATTTGCTGACCTGGAAGAAGCAGCTAGGAACTTCACTGCTTGCTCGGCCTGCTCTAAGAGCTAGAGGGACCAAAGTCAAAGCCCAGGGTTTTCCAAAGGAGCAGACTCGACACCAACCCCACTTGAAGCTGGGCCCCCCAGAGGCCCACACCTTAATAATGAGGAAGAGCCAGAAGAGACCAGGCCTGCAGCCTGCCCCTCACCCCTGGGAGCCTTTGGAGAACCCCAAGCCTTAAACTGTGCTAAGGTGTCTCAGACTAATAGGCCCCCAAGTCCTGAAAGAAGCCAACAAAAATCCTCTCTGGAGGAAGGTACTATCATCACAGGCCTCACTTTATTCCTACATGCAAACTTTCAAATACAGTAACTAGCACACAGAGATAATCCCACTCACAGAGAAACAAGATACCAGGTTTGAGAACCAGCTTAAACAAAAGAAGACAAAACAGACGTACAAAAGGAAGTATCATCAGACACAGTCTACTATGCAACCAAGCTTACTATCATCAAAGAAACAGAAGACAAGCTTGAAAACTGCAGCAGAGCAGACAGCATTAAAAAGATTTGAAAAATAAACAGACATTCTAGTGAATACCACTGAACATGCGCAGTATTTACAGTGGGCAGGTAACTGAACTTAGGGGAAACATTGAGATGCTGGTGATGTGACTTTATTTTCCAATGAAGATAGAGGGAAATAGGTAATCTTCAAAATAGGAGTATTCATTTTACAGGTTTATCAGCTAGAATGAAAACAAGACTGTCAGCTAGCCACAGAAATATACATTCCCAAATCCCAAAAGGGAAAAACAAACAGTAAGCTCATAGAAGAGACTTTTTAAAAATAGAAAAGAATAGAGCCAGTATCCAGTTTCATCCTTTCCATACCCACAAACATGGAGGTATTAATATAACCTATAAACAGCTTCCCGGCAACCCCCAAATACACGCCCCACTATTATAAAAGAACCTCCATCCGGCTCGCAAGTGCTGTGGTTCTAAATCTCCTGGAGGAGAACAGGAATATTCAGTTGTCTCATAAAGAATCTGTTTGCTTCCCCCCCATCAGGGATTCTCAACTCAACTCAAGTGATGCTAGAAATAACCAGCATCCCCGCAGCAAACAGCTGTGTCACATCCCGTCCCCTCCTCCCACCCTCGGCCTCTCTATACCCGTGCTATCTCTAAGCCACAGGGCCGACAAGAGAAAAACAATTAGTCATCCCAGGTTTTGCCCACCTTCCCCACCGCCCCTGTTATTCTAAACACAATCACCATAGAAAACATGCGGTGGTTAGAAGCCAAGCAGGCACCTACAGGTCTGAAAGACTTGAAGACTTTTTCCAGGACTTCGTGGAGCGTCTTCTTGCCGCAGGAGGAGATGTAATCCTGTGCTAGCTGCAAGAAAGGCAGGCAGTCCTCGCTCTCACTCCACACGTGCTGCGTGCCCACGGGCAGTGAAAGGAGAAAACAAAGACACAGAGTCACTACACTCAGTGTGAAGTTCAGAAAAGCCAAGCAGATTTTTTAATGACATGAATTTGATGAAGGCCTCCATTACATTCATTCTTGATTTGTTTGCACCAAATCGGATGAAAAACTGTCTAAGCCCCCAAGCTTTTGGTCCCTACCTCACTTGCTCTGTTCGCCATCAGATCTGCTCCTACACAGTAAAGAGGGCAGGGGGTGGCCATTCCTCGCCAGTGATTTCCATTGTTCACCTTCTTGCGCAGGCTAAGGGCTGTTTTCAGACATGAGGAAGGGGAAACCAGACCTTTGCCTTCAAAATCCTAAACTTTGCTTTCAGCTATGGCTGAAAGATTACTTAAGCATAGTTTGTAAGCATTAACTTGGAACAAGACATTCTTTACCCAGATTGGCCTGTGAGTGGGGTTGGTGGTAAATTTACTTCCAAATGAAAAGAACTTAGGAGAACCCGCCTAGTCACCATTACGTCAGTGGGAAACAAAGGCTTTCCAAAAACTTCCCTTCCCTAAAATACTTTCAGAGGGCATCACACCAAAGCATGATTTCACAATCTAACACGTACTAAGGAGACTGGTTTTATGTTTTCTATTTCTATTTCTTTTCTTGTTTTTTTTTTTTGGTCTGTGACACAGGGTTTCACTCTGTTGCCCATGCTGGAGTGCAGTGGTGCGATCTTAGCTCACTTGAACCTCCACCTCTCGGGCTCAAGTGATCCTCCCACCTCAGCCTCCTGAGTAGCTGGGATTACAGGTGCACACCACCACACCCGACTAATTTTTTGTATTTTTGGTAGAGACAGGGTTTTGCCATGGTGCTCAGGCTGGTCTTGATCCACCTGCCTCAGCCTCCCAAAGTGCTGGGATTACAGGCATGAGCCACCATACCCAGTTTAGGTTTTATTTTTTCCAAAAGCTGGATAAGGCTTCTTTCCATGTGAGGATATTTATTTTTGCTCCTCTTTAAAACTAGGCAAGCCTCTTCCATAATGTTCAAAGATCTGGAACAAGGCTAAGAAACAGGTTTGAGCATTTTCAATGCAGAAGCCCCTGCCCTGCATATCTAAGTGAGTTGGGAACACAGGGTTACCAGGGTAACATCAGAGTAACTGTCAGGTACCAAGGATCGATCTTTAGTGGGTACAGGTCCATGACAGCTCAACACTGGCAAAAAAAAGTGTTGACGTCTGGGAGAAAGGAAGACGTCTGGCAGATAAGAACAGGATGTAGGGGCTAGATAGCAGGATATGAGACTTATTTGGAGAAATGGTCCATGGCAAGCACGCACTTGCCCTCTTCTAGTAATACAAACGACTGGGGCACCACTTCAGAAAGTTATATCCCTACCACTCAATAAACACATTTACTCTCCTTCCTTCTTACTGCAGGGTTTCTGAGAACTAGACCTATAGACTAAAATACTGCCCAGATTCAAATGAGAAGAACTAGGTGCCCATGTACCATCTTTATACCCCAATTATCTACATTTCATAGTTGTAAAGGTCCATTTCCGACACACGTTGCTCTCATGCCAGCAGACTTCTCTGGTAGCTTCCCCAACCCAATAATGACACCGTCTGGGCTCTCTAGTTTTAAAGAACAGCTCAAATGTTCTTCCCTACTAATTAGAGACCCTTAAAGCTGTCAAACCACTGCAGTGTCATTTATGTAATAGTCTCTTCCATTGTACAAAAGTATAACAGTACAAAGTACTTGTATATCCATTATGTCACTTGATTCTTAATCAGTGGAGATTCTGCAAGAACAACAAAAGTTCTACTTTAGTAAGTTCTGCTCAGCATCCATTTTCATACTCAAATGTGTAAAAGTTCCAGCTTATTTCAAATTATTACCCAAGTTAAAGAGGGGGTTAACATCCAGTACCACATTTCAGAAAACTTTAAGTCTGTCCTCTGTAGACTTGGGAAGATGACAGAAAGAGGTAAAAGCTGAGTAAGTGCCTGGCACAGTGCCTGGCTGGCATGCAGTGAATATTCTACTGAATATGGTGGGCGTTAAGTACCTTCTTTCCCCCTTCGCATCTCCAGGAGGATGGGGGAGGCAGAGGGGAAGGGGTGGGCTTACCATCTGCCACAAGGCTACGGTCACACAATGAGTAATCGGACACCCAGTGTGACTTCACCGAGAGCACTGCCCGAGGCAACTTGGGTTGAGGTTAATTCAGAAGCAGGTGCATCTATGAAAAGCTTGTATGCCTACTTTGTTAAAAAGTAAGTACACTTGGGCTTTAAATTACAAAGTAAACTAAGAAAAGTATATCACTCAAACAATAACAGAATCGCAAATTGCAGTGTAGCCACTGTTTGGTAATCAGGCAGTTTATTTAGCTAAGTGTTTTTAAGGCATTTCTAATCTCATGAAGAGACTGTTTGTGCCACAATTGCCATTACTCTATTTTTAGAGCAGTTTATTTAGGACTATATGTTGGCGGAAGACTTAACACCCATGAAAGGACCTTCTGTCTAAATTTCCTTCATTTGGCTATCTATCTCCACCTGTATTCCCAGTTCCGTTAGGTTTTCGGGTTCAAAAAACGTTGTACTGAATCCTGGTACACATGATAGAGTGGCATGGGGTTTGGACTCAGACAGATCCAGGTGTACACAGTCACTTAAAAGACATCATTTACTAAATGCCAGTCATCTCATATCCATTGTATCTGGAAACAAGGAAGTGTTCCATTTAAAATTCCTTCCTTCCAAAATGAATCAAGGCAGCTGACAAAGTAGCACAGGATACAAGACAAAATGACCTAAAAAAAAAAAAAAAAGTCTGGGGCTGGGCGCGGTGGCTCAAGCCTGTAATCCCAGCACTTTGGGAGGCCGAGGCGGGTGGATCATAAGGTCAAGAGATCGAGACCATCCTGGTCAACATGGTGAAACCCCGTCTCTACTAAAAATACAAAACATTAGCTGGGCATGGTGGCGCGTGCCTGTAATCCCAGCTACTCAGGAGGCTGAGGCAGGAGAATTGCCTGAACCCAGGAGGCGGAGGTTGCGGTGAGCTGAGATCGCGCCATTGCACTCCAGCCTGGGTAACAAGAGCGAAACTCCGTCTCAAAAAAAAAAAAAAGAAAAGACAAAGGAAGGAAAATAAGATCCAAGAGTGAGACTAGAACAAGCAGAACAAGGTATGAGGGCCTGGCTACTTGCTACAGATGGGACACAGATCTGACAGCAAAGCTTTCTAAGTAGCCCATGCAGAGAGAGAGGCACCATTAATCCCACGAGGTGGTGTCCACAGATAAAACAGATGTGCTCTTCAGGAAAATTAAGAGGCAGGGGTGTTGGAGGCAGAACACATATTCTATTAGGAAAATACAAGGGACCATTCCAAAACCAAGGGGAGCAGAGAGACCATCGAGGGGCAGGGCTGGTGCTCCTGAAAAGAGGATCTAGTCCTGTACAAAGACAAATGGACAACTGAAGGCCCAGAGCCCTGTGCCACTGGGTGTGACCGCAGTAACTTCAACTTGGAAAATATTTTAAGCATGTGTAACCAAATACTCATTTTGGTCAGGAAAAAAACTATAGCAGGAATCAGAATCTCTAGCTCTGAACAGTGCAATGCTCTGGCAAACATGAATCTGGGTATGGAAAGCACTGACTCTACATTAAGGTAGGAGTCAGTGCATGGGCAGCCTGCAGGCCTCCCTTGGACAAAAGGAGAAACACCAGGAAGGCTTCAGGGAGCACAGGGAAGCAGGGGTTCTCGAGCTTCAGTGTGGATCAGAGTGGGGTGGTGAGAGGCAGAGTTTAACTTGCCAACTGAGAAAAGTGTATCACTCAAACACAATAACAGCATTGCAAGGTAACCACCACTGCTTGGTAATCAGTTTAGCTAATGAACTATTCAGTGGGCTGAGAATGTACACAGTTCCCAGGTGATGCTCATGTGGCGGGTTCTGGGACCACACTTGGAGAACCACACCATGGGCACAGCAGAACTTTGGCTAATTACGTATTTGAAGTGGGGAGGGGGTGATGTGACATTTAAATATCTTTCTGGGAGAACTACAGCAGTTGCCAATACTGACTACAGCCAACTCCAAATCTCAGGCTGGCCTCAGCTGCAGTGAGGTGGCTGCTGTCGGACATACCCTGAGTGGCCTACTCTTTCCTACAGAAAATCCCTGATAGGAACTTTGATTTGAGTAGAGGCCATCTCAAAGATCTCTCATCTTCCTGTGAGATCAGGGAAGTTTATTACAAAAGCCTGCCCAGCTGAAAACAATATAACTATGTCACCTGCAAACAGGAAAATGAGCACCTTTCTGCTTTTTATAGTGTAGATGACAACAGCCAGTTTATCAAAAAGTGGTCTCAGATCATTAAGATAATTCAATCCTACAGGCATTTTTGGGGGGAGCTCAATGTGTGTGCCTTACTATTCTACGTCCTGGTGGGAATACAGCTGGACTTCCTGGTGCTTAAGCAGGGTGGGGGTGGCAGAGGAGGTAAGAACACACTCCTGTGTCTCCTCCCTCTGAGGCCCTTGCTCTGGGACTTAATATAGTACTGAAGTGGGGGTTTTCTGCCACTCAGTACCAAGGGAGTCCATTTTGAATTGGTATGTCATAATCCAAAATGGATCCCTGGCCGGGCCTGGTGGCTCACACCTGTAATTCCAACGTTTTGAGAGGCCAAGGCAGAAGGGTTGCTTGAAGCAAGGAGTTCAAGACCACCTGGTCAACACAGCAAGACTCCAGTCTCCACGAAAAATAAGAAAAATAGCTGAGTGTGGTGGCACATGCCTGTAGTCCTGGCTACTTGGGAGGCTGAAGCATCCTGCTGCTTCAGGAGTCTGAGGTTATGGTAAGCTCTGATCACACCACTGTACCCACCATGGGCAAGAGTGAGACCCTGTCTCTAAAACAAAATACCAGAACAAAACCCTGATTCTTGTCCTCGCAACATATGGCAGGAGAAGATAAAA